GACAGGCCCCTGTGTGACTGCACAGCCCAAAGCTCTGCTCCCAGCCACACCCCTCCGGCCCCACTAAACAGCAGGAAACACCAGGGCCAGGTGGAGGCAGCAGAACACCTGCCAATTTCTCTCCAAGAGCTCCCTCCCCCGCCAGCAGAGACGCTGTGTCTAGAGCAAGCAGGGCACGACCCGCAGCACAAGGCGAACCTTCAGTCAGGCATGCGACGCCCAGGAAGCTGCCAAAGCCTTGCCTCAGTCTGCCTTGCCTCAGTCTGCCCCCGGGGCCTGCTCCTCCAATCAGCAGCCCAGCTGGAAGGGTGTTCACACTCCAGCTGAACCAAACACCTGGGAACCAGCCCCTCCGGGGCTGGAGTGTCCCACACGGCTCCTCACAGCAGCGGAAGCAGCATCCGGCAGAGCACGCCAGCCGGAGCAGTAGCAGGGAGCCTGGGGACCGGAGCCCCCAATGGGAGCTCAGCACAAGGACTGGCTTCATGCTGCCCTATGCCCAGCGCCTGCAGCAAGCCAGCAGATTTGCTTCGCTGGGCCACGCTAGAAGCTACGGGTGGGGCAACTCTGGCACCCCAGCCAACCTCTTAGGGGCACTGCCCTCCCAGAGCACGCCAGCCGGAGCAGTAGCAGGGAGCCTGGGGACCGGAGCCCCCAATGGGAGCTCAGCACAAGGACTGGCTTCATGCTGCCCTATGCCCAGCGCCTGCAGCAAGCCAGCAGATTTGCTTCGCTGGGCCACGCTAGAAGCTACGGGTGGGGCAACTCTGGCACCCCAGCCAACCTCTTAGGGGCACTGCCCTCCCAGAACACAGCCAGGGCTGAGCCAGCACAGCAGTCCAGGGAGGGATGGGGCATGGAGGGATTTCTGGGAGGTCTCAGCCCCTTTCCGAACGGGGAGAAACCCAGTGGAGTCCAATCAAAGAAGAACTAACTGGGGCCAGGCCTCAGCACAGCCCTTCGCTGCCCCCGGGTCAGGAACACACCGCAGCAATGCAGAGCTGCTGGGCAGGGCGCATGCTAATGGCCATCTCCACACAGGACCCTTCCTGAGACCCCCCATTGCTCCCCAACATCCCAGACCCAAGGCCTGCTGGCCGCTCCCTTGCTCCTGACAGGACTGCCCAACGCTGGGGCTGCCCAAGTTCTCCCCACAATGTGCATGCTGTCAGTAGGACAGCTGGGTGGACTGCCATAGTACGCCCCCCACTGCCACTCACTGGCCCTTAGGGAGAGAGCGCACAGATGCCAGCCAGACACCATTCCTAGTGAGAGCATGGCCCTTGCCACCTCACCCGTATGGGGACTCCATCCAGGTTGCCTTTCCGAGGGCAGTGCCTACAACCAGAAAGCCCCAACACTCTGGGGTAGCAGGGGCTCATGCACAGGTCACCTACCCAACTAGCCCTGCCACCTTGCTGCTGTTACTGTAAGCCTGCCTTCCTCGGCTTAGGGAAGGGCAAGCCCTCACCAAGCTAGTGCGCTCAGTGCCCAAAGGAAAGGGCGCAGGAACAACCAAGCCAACTATTCCCCATTGCAGGACTCCTCACCTTCTCCCAGGACGACAGCACATCCGCTTCCCAGGGCACAGCGATCCTTGTCCCCCAGAGAAGAGTCCCGAAAGGACCAGCGAAAAGCTTGCACTGTTCACAACAGGCCACGGAAGATCCCACCCTGACCTGATAGATTCTGCAAGCCAGTGAGGGTAGGAAGGGTGCAGCGGAGGGAGGGAGAGGCGGCTGGCGCTCTGGGAGGGACGCTATTGGTCACAGTTCAGCCTGTGTGGGGTGTCAGAGGAGCTAGAAAACATTTGCCTGTGCTTTGATCACACAGCACTGGGACCTCCCTGCCATACAGGGAAATGCAGAGAGGGGAGAATTTCAAGGAGCTGGCATATCTGACACGTATTGGTAAGACTGCACCATCGTACACAGCTCTGGGCTTCACGCGCTTTTCTAGGATGCTGGAACACTGAAGAGAACTAGACTGGCGAAGGCTGGGGACCCCACCGCACAGCAAGAGATGGAAAGAGCTGTCTCTAGCTTAGTCGGGAGAACATGGATGTTAAGCAGTAAGCATGAGGCTTACCAGTACACTTGCCGGTTAACTGGCCCTTGCCACGCTGAGCTAGAGTACCACCAACAGGGCTGTTGGCCAGACAGCAGGACCCCATGGCCACGGTGGGAACAAGTGGCAAGACCCACAGCTGTAGTGGGGCCAGGTCCTAAGTTGAACCACGTAACCATTTTAACATCCCTAAAAGAGAGCGGTAAGGGTGATCGGCTCAGTCCCTAAACATCTCCGTGCCGAGAAGGGCTCTGAAAGCAGAGAGCAGGCAAAGGCAGAACGCTCTCCAGTCGCTAGAAGCGAAAGACAGAACGATTCAGGCTCCACTTTTACAGAGGGGTCCCTGGGACTTGGGGTCTGGAGCTGGAAGTGTTCGAACCATGGGTTCCTGTTCGACCACACACTGCTGGGGAAGGCTGGGCCATGCAGCCCACACTAGATGTCAGAAGGGTCCTGGCCAAGATTTTCAAGGGAACAAGGGTGTGCAGACAGGCTCCCAAGTCCCAACTGAGGAACCCTGCTCTGGGACCCAGTAGCTCCTCATCTGAGTTTTCCAGTCTTGGCCTAGGAATCTATGACATCTCTTCTCCAGAGGAGGTACGGGGAGTGCCCACAGGAGCCCCTGGGATCCTCACACATGGGGAGGGGCAATGGTTTCGAGTGGAGAGAGTATCAGATGCAGCATGGTGCTACCAGCCAAGACGCAGTTCTGCGGGTGCTTGCAGGACAAGGGTATCAGCTCGGCTCTCCAGAACATGTGCCCATCAGGAATGTGAAGGTTGACCAGTGAGGCTGGAGCAGCTCTCTCCCGCGGGGGGGAGGGGAGCGCTCACCCATTTTAATCAGTTAATCAACGAAATGGGATTTTAAATCGCTCGTGCCCCTGCCCCAGTTACCACAGTGGCCGGAGCAATGTGGAAGCAACATTTTGCAGCCAGGACTGCCACACTTCAGAGGCAACAGAAGCCTCAGGGCTGCCAAGCCAACACTTCCATTTCAACAACCGACTGCGGCTCACAGCGCACATGCAGAGTGGGCAAAAGGGCCTCCACGGGCTGGATCCGGCCCACCAAGCAGTTTGATCCAGCCTGCGGAAGCCCTGCCAATTAGAGCCTGGGGGCGGGAGGAAGCGCACAAAGTTTCCTCCGCCCTGCCAGGAGTATGTAGCACTTAGAAGTGCCACACGCTCCTGGAAGACGGGAGACTTTGCGCGTTCCCCCGCCCCCAAGCGCTGACTGGCCTGGGGGCAAAAGGTGGAGCACGCGAAGTCTCCTCCCACCAGGGGCATGGGCACCAAGGGGGAACCTCTGGGGGTGGGGCAAAGACTTCATGCGCTCTCCCACCCCCAGACCAATCATGGTCTGTGGGTAGGGAAGCACGGAAGTGCCCTGGACACACCCCTTCCGGAGCGGCCCAGAGCCACTGCAAAAATTTCTGAAGTGGCCTCCGGCAAAAAATTATTGCCCACCCAAATTGGGAGATTCCCAAATCAAGCCCCTCTTGTTACATCCCGACTGGATTACTGTAATGCACTTTATGTGGGGCTGCCTCTAAAGAGCCTTCGGAAACTTCAACTGGTTCAGAGTGCGGCTGCTTGAGTCTTAACTAATACTCGTTAATACAGAGCACATTATGCCAGTGCTTCGGCAGCTGCACTGGCTTCCAGTATGTTTCCGGGCAAAATTTAAGGTTTTAGTTATGACCTTTAAAGCCTTAAACGGGTTGGGTCTGGGGTATCTGAAGGACCGTCTTCTCCCATATGAACCTGCCTGGGCATTGAGGTCAGCTGCGGAGGCTTTACTTCGTGTTTCCCCTACTTGCAGAGATAAGATTAACATCACCGTGGAACAGGGCCTTCTCAGCTTTTGCTCCCAGGCTATGGAATTCTCTTCCTCAGAATATTCGCATGGTGCCAACACTAGCATTGTTTCGGCATCAGGCTTAAGCCACCCTTTTTACTCGTGCTTTTATTAATGTTTGAGTCTGTATGTGTGTGTTCCTCTTCTCGATATTTTTAGCAGGTTTTATGTCCCTCTGGGGTCTTGTATTTTAAATTTTTATATATATTTGTATTTTGTTGAAAATTTTTTGTAAGCTACCTTGAATATTTTAAATAAAGGGGCGGGGTCAAAATATTTAAATAAATAAATAAATGTGAAGTAGCAACTGATACAAATTAGAAGTTGAAAAGTGTAGAAAGTGAGGGTGATGAGCCTTTGGGACAAACTGCCACAGGCAGTGGTGGATTCTTCCTCTGGCTATGGGTCAGATCCACACTGGCTGTCATTGTGTTATTGGGCTCAGTGTTGGGGTAACTGGCTACGGTTCTCTAACCTCTGATATGCAGATTAGACTAATGGTCCCTTCCTGCCTTAAGCTCCATGAATTCACTTGTGATGCCGTTAGCTCCTCCTTAGTGAACCGCACACTATGTGACGCCCACACCAAGCGTGCCTTCCGAGTGATTGTGGTGGACAGTCGGCCACGGCTGGAGGGACGGGACACACTACGCAGGCTGGTGCGTGAGGGCATCCGCTGCACTTATGTCATGATCACTGCCATCTCCTACGTGCTGCCCGAGGTGAGTGAGCAGCTGCCTGAGGATGTTGCTGAGTTGCTGGAGGCAGAGCCTGCCTTGCCATTGATTGTTAATTGGTAATTTACCTGGTTCCCCTGTCTCCCCACAGGTCTCCAAGGTATTGCTGGGGGCCCATGCGCTGCTAGCGAACGGCTCTGTCATGTCACGGGTGGGGACATCCCAGATTGCACTGGTGTCCAAGGCCTACAATGTGCCTGTGCTGGTGTGCTGCGAGACCTACAAGTTCTGTGAGCGGGTGCAGACTGACTCCTTTGTCTCCAATGAGTTGGGTACGTGCCCTGCATGCTCCCCAGTGCAGTAGTTTAGGATAGCGGTATTGTAAATTCAGGGTCCACTGCTGTGGCATCCTAACAGGTCTCCTGCTCCGCCAGTGATGATAAACGTTTGGCTGCTCGCGTTTTCATAGGCTTCTTCAGTATATCATGCCAGCTCTGTGTAGGTAGCTAGCATAATAGACTTCACCAGAGCACCCAAGTCAGGTTTCTTGTTGAACAAAGTACATTAATAAGTGTCGGTAGCCAGATGGCCTTCGAGACCCGACGTATTTGTACCCGGAACAATGGATGCAACTCAGTTGATAGTATGGATTTCACTAACGCCTCTTAGGCTGGCCAAAGAATTAAGTCAGAGTACCCCCCAGTATTTATAGACAGAAATGAACAATCTATGATATGCGCTCTACATATCATCTTACGCACTAATGACACGTTTGGTACCTCCCCATGTACTTTCCTCCAAAGCATACACTGCCCGTTGTTCTGCTTTCACTCTTGGGCTACAGAATATTCGCATGGTGCCAACACTAGCAT